GTTTGACGACCAAGCAATCCACAGAGGCCCACTCTCACCTGCTAAGCCAAACCGCACCTTGTTCCTGGGTGAATGCCAAGCCCAGTCGATAAATCAAACAGGTGAACAACTTAGTGAATTAACAGGATCCCATCATTCAAAGGGGGCAAAGGAAGTAATCCTGCCAAATTAGCATGCCAAGTCATTATTTAACATGGCAGGTATGCAGGAAACTTAACACATTCCAAAGAAGTAGAGGTTTAGGAGAACATGAAGATGATTATTTTAAGTTCTGGAGTAAATGCTAGCACTCTGGGGGTCACTTGAGGCCAGGAGTTTGAGCCCAACTTGCACAACATGGCAAGACCCCATCTCTACCAAAAAAAATTAAAAATTAAAAATTAGCCAGGTGTGGTGGTGCACGCTTGTATTCCCAGTAACTTGAGTGGCTGAGGCAGGAGGACTGTTTGAACCCAAGAGATCAAGGCTGCAGTGAGCTATGATGGAGCCATTGCCCTCCAGCCTGGGCAGCAGAGCAAGACTCTGTCTCTAAAACATCAAATAACGAAATAAGAATAAAATAATCTTGTAATGGAGTCTGCAGGAAAACTTTTTTAGAAGACAGGTGACTAAGTCAAAAGTTGCACTGACTTCAGTTATAAATTGAAGAAATTTGAAAGCAGGCTAGAATGAACCAGCAAGAGCTGCTCATAACAGAATTCTCAGTTCTGGGGGGAAAAACTTAAGCTTTTTTATTATAGAAATAATGTAATTTCAGGAAGCTTGGAAAATGAAAATATACAGTTAAGTCACCTATAATCTCAGCACCCAGAGACAGGGGCAGATCCATGCTTTGGAGAATAAAGAAACAAAAACCTCTCATCACCGTGAATTTTACAAGGAGACACAAACCAGGTTGCTGGAAGGGGATCTTGAAGTGTGAGGCCATAAAACTTAAACTTCATTCACCTTAAGTTAGGTCACTTCCATCCTGAAAGAATCACTGATTATGGTAGGTTCTTAGCCAGTCCTCTTGGGTTGGAATCTCAGGAACGTCACTTATTAACCGAATGACCTGAGGCAAGATGGTTAAGCTTCCTTGTGCCTTAGTTTCCTGTCTGCAAGATGACAAAGAAGAATGCAGAAGCCACTTAGAGTGAATGATTGGCTGTTATCATCCTGTCTTTTCTAAACACACGTATACACATTCTACAAAACCATCTCACTAGTTTCATGCAGAAACATTTTTCCATGCTCGTGGCCGTTTAAGTCCAAATCTTATACTGAATGGACGCATAACCTAAAGATCAATGATACATTTTGGGTGCAAGTTGAAAAGGGGGAGCTTCTTAACATCAGATGACTTTGTCTCATGAATGAACACGTCATCTTCATCACCAAAGACTAGTACCATTTTGGGGAATAAGGAATTAAGGGAATAAGGCACTTGTACACAGGTCTTTGGTGAATCCAAGGTGTCAAGTAAGAGGCTTGCTGATGAAAGGAGGTTCTCTGAGTCTTACAACCCCAGGAGGTGCGAAGTGAAAGACATCCCCTTGAGCTGTGGGTGACTGAGGGCCCAGGGGGAGTAGGCCAGACCCTTTGATGTCTTCAGGAATCCGTGAAGATGGGGTAGAGGGCAATCCCTTTACCCAAAGTTACTAAGGTAGAAACGCTCAGAGGCAGGTTTGATAAGCCCTCAAGTCTACCACACTGACTCCCAACCTCAGAGAACTACCCATGGGTCCAGGGTCCAAGTACTGGTTTCCCTGATGATTCACGATGACAGCTTGGGCGTGAAGCTCACCTCGGTGCATTTCCTCAGAGAAACCGACATTTCTCTGCACCTCCGGGGTTGCAATCACCCACTCATGCTACCTATTACACAACCTTCCATGGGGGCACACATCAGTGTTTGAGAGCATTGAAATAAACAGACTTCTCTGACATGAAGTGTGAAGTCTTCCAGTCACATTTAGGGGTATAATTTGTATTTCTGAGGGCCCAACCCATTTTTTTTTTTTACCAACTCCTATAAGCAGGAAGGAGTCTTATTGTTTCCCCTCCCCTAAGTCAACCTTCAAGATGATTGTATGGAAGTCACACCAACTTAGAATTTCTTTTTCTTTTTTTGAGTTGGAGTCTCACTCTGCCGCCCAGACTGGAGTGCAGTGGATGCTCCCGGCCACCGCAGCCTCGACCGGCTGGGCTCCGGCGATCCTTCCGCCTCAGCCTTCCGAATAGCCAGAATTACAGGCATGCGCTACCACGCCCGGCTGATTTTTTGATTAATTGTAGAGATGAGGTCTCGCTGCCCAGACGGGTCTCGAACCTGCGGGCTCAGGCAATCCACTCACCTCAGCCTCCCAAAGGCGCGGGATTACAGGTCAAGCCACTGCATCCCTCAAGCCTCAACTCTAAGTAGAATCACCCCAGTCACTGTGCATTTAGTTTTTCCATTAATAGGATGCTGACAGATGTGATCGTTTTCTTTTGAAGAACCAAGATACCCTTCACTTAGTAGTTGGAATCAGAAGTATTATCACCATAGAATGATCAGATGGCTGAAGACCTTGAGTAAGGCAGCTGAGACCCAGGTTATCTCAATTCTTGGCACCAGACAGAGCTTTTCTGTGAGACCACAGTAAAGGTTTCTTCCCTACCGCCCTTCCTTGGTGTATCTAGAAGGGAATGGGTGACATTAAATACTCATTACTGAGAACAAATGTCCTCATTTAATCTTTAATGAAAGCCTATAAATTATGTACTAGTGTATCCTTATCTATAAAATAAGGATACCTTTATCTAAAAAAGTACAGTTTAACAATAAATGGGCAGATGTGTTTTAAAAAATTAATTTCTAGAAAGGAATTGCCTAAAAGACAAAAAAAAAGAAAAAAAAACCCCTGCATTAATTGGGGGATGTCAAAGGGACAGCAAAGCCAACTGAAATAACTCCCTAAGATCAAAACTGGAACAACTTGGGCTTCAAGTAGCAATCGGTTGTAATATAATAGGCTTAAAAAAATAGGAGAGATGACCCGGAAAGGTGGCTCACACCTGTAATCCCAGCACTTTGGGAGCCCCAGGAGTTTGAGACCAGCCTGGACTACACAGCAAGACCTCATGTCTACAAAATACCAAAAAGTGAGCCAGGCTTGTTGGTGCATACCTGTAGTCCCAGCTACTCAGGAGGCTGAGGCGGAAGGATCGCCTGAGCCCAGGAGGTCATGACTTCCGTGAGCCCTGATCATGCCACTGCACTCCAGTCTGAGCAATAGAGTGACAGACCTGACTGAAATAATAAAATAAACAGGAGAGAAGAGACAAGTCTCCGTTGCAAAGGAATTCCAAATAATTTATAGCTATCCCGCCCTCAGGGAGGTAGAATGTAAGTGCCCATGAAGGCTTTGCATAGTGACTTCCTCCCAAAAAATATGGTATGGGAAGGGCGGGGACACCTGACTATCGCTGCCCAGTCAGGCAGTGAAGGTCAGTGTTAATAGATCGGGTTCACTCACCCCTGATATGACACAGTGACAGAGTACTTTATCTCTGTGGTCTTCCTCTCCCAAGTCCAGAACCATTGTCTAATTATCAAAAAACAAGAGACAGACCAGGTAGGGTAGATCACGCCTGTAATCCCAGCACTTTGGGAGGTTGAGGCAAGAGAATCCTGAGTCCAAGGGTTTGAGACCAGCCTGGGCAACTTGGTGAGACCTCATCTCTACAATAAATAAAAAAATTAGCCGGGTGTGGTGGCGCATGCCTGTAGTTCCAGCTACTTGGAAGGATGATGCAGAAGGATTGCCTAGCCCAGCAGGTTGAGGCTGTGGTGGCCATGTGCATGCCACTGCACTCTAGCCTGGCAGTCAGAATAAGACTCTGACTCAAAAAAAATAAATAAATAAAAGACAAATCTCATTTGTGAGCACCTTGCAAAACACTGGATGGTACTCACAACTGTCAAAGTCATCAGAAACACTCCAAGTCTGAGAAACTGACAAGCCTAAAGGAGCCTAACAAGACATGACAACTGCCTATAATGTGTTATCCTGGATAGGATCCGGAAACAGAAAAGGACATTAGATAAAAACTAAAGAAATACAAACAGGTGTACTTCAGTGGATAGCAATGCATTCATGAGTTAATAACAAAGGAAACTGGGTGGTGGGTTTACAGGACTTCAACCGTATCAGCTCAATTTTGAAAATAAATCTAAAATTGCTAGGCGCGGTGGCTCATGCCTGCAAGGCCGGCACTTTGGGGGCAAAGGCAAGAGGATTGCCTGAGCTCAGAGTCTCATCTCTACAATAAATAAATAAATAATCATTGGGTGTGGTAGCACATGTTTGTGGTTCCTGCTTCTTGGAAGGCTGAGGCAGGATAACCTGAGCCCAGCAGGTCGAGGCTGCAGTGGCCATGAGTATGCCATTGCACTCCAGCCTGGGAGACAGAGTGAGATTCCAAATAAATAAATAAATAAATAGATAGATAGATAAATAAATCTAAAATTATCCTTAAAAGTATTTAAAATCTTTTCTACGGGTACACATAAGAAATATGTATGCATAAAAAAAAGTCAAGATACACTAAGCCAATATTTTTTTTCTTAGCTATGCTACATGAGTTGCTTATATGGAAGATTTATGTGTATATTACTATCAAAACAATATGAGATATGGCTGGGCACGATGGTTCACACCTGTCATCCCAGTGCTTTGGGAGGCTGAGATGGGAGGATGACTTGAGGAAAAAAGTTCAAGACCAGCCTGGGGAATATAGCAAGACCCAGTCTCTATAAAAAATTTAAATTAGCCAGGCATGGTGACTCACACCTGTAATTCCAGCTACTTGGGAAGCTGAGGCAGGAGGAGGGCTCGAGCACAGGCATTTGAGCCTGCAGTGAGGTATGACTGTACTCTAGCCTGGAAGACGGAGCAAGAACTCGTCTCAAAACCATAATCATTATTTGAGGTCTATTGAGGGTCACGTAAAAGAAAACGAGTACCAGCTTAGGCTTATCTTATCAGCAGAAAAGTTTTTATTCCTTTTGAGGACAAACAAACCAACCACATCTGAGGCCTTCACTTAGAGACACAAACCAAAGTAGCCACTTAAAGCATGAGATTTGAAGGTACGAGACATACAATGGGGGTGACTGCTTTGCCATCAGACGCTCACACCAAACTTGGCCCCACGGACAGCTGCGTGCTGCTCGTGCTTGGGTGCGGCAGAGGGGACAGCGTGTCTGCAGGACACAAGGAGGACAGCTGTGTTTCACAAGGACCAAAGCATTTAGACAGCGTGGGGAAGTCTGTGACGTCATATCGGAGGGAGGGACGAGGCGGCTCGGGCTCCTGGGGTCTCAGGCTGCCTTGCAGAGGGCCACGGCCGAGAAGCGGACCTCTCCCTGCTCACGCTCCGTGAACTCCCTGCAGACCTTGGCGGCATCCTGTGAAGGAAGAGTGTTGTTAATCCAGGCAGCGTGGAAGTTTCAAGGGAAAGTACCTCCCAGGCCTAGTCATGCACAGTGTTCACCCCAATCAACTTTAATTCCTTCATTCGACTGGTAAACCAGGGCTTAAGGCAAGAAGAAAAAAGAAAAGAAATTGGGCTACGCATCATGGGTGTGACCCCAGAAGCTCCGGCTCTCTTGTTACTTCCACCAAATAGCTCCCTGTTCCTCCACTTTGTGTCTGGTTTGGCAAGAAAACTAAACACTATACATTTTTTTTTTTTGAGTCGGAGTCTCACTCTGTTGTCCAGGCTGGATTGTAGTGGCAGCCTTGACCTGCTGGGCTCCAGCGATCCTTCCACCTCAACCTTCCAAGTAGCTGGAACTATGGGCACGCGCCACCATGCCCGGCTAATTTTTTTATTTATTGTAGAGATGAGGTCTTGCCAAGTTGCCCAGGTTGGTCTTGAATCCGTGGGCTCAGAAAATCCTCTCACCTCAGCCTCCCAAAATGCTAGGATTATAGACATGAGTCACCATGCCTGGCTAAACATTTTTAAAAAAATTTCGGGTCGGGGTCTCACTCTGTCACCCAGGCTGGAGTGCAGTGACATGATCAGGGCTCGCCGTAACCTTGACCTCCCGGGCTCAGATGATTCTCCTGACTCAACCTCCCAAGCAGCTGGGACTACAGGTGTGCACCACCATGCCCTGCTAATCTTTTTTTTCTTTGTTTTTCTGTAGAGATGAGAGTCAGGAAGATAGAGCAAGACCTCATTTCAAAATAATATTTATAATTTGAGATATGTTGAGGGTTAGGTAAAAGAAAATGAGAACCAGTTTAGAGGTGAGGTCTCACTATGTTGCCCAGGCTGGTCTCAAACTCCTGGGCTCAAGCAATCCTTCTGCCTCAGCCTCCCAAAGTGCTGGGACAACAGGTGTGAGCCACAGTGCCCAACCTGAAAACTAAACTATGAATGCTCTTTTCCTCAGATCTAAACAAGATGGAAAATTGATATCTGTTCCAAAACAGGGCGTAAGAGAAAGGCTCTCCAACCCCAGAAATTCCTGAAGTAGAGACACTTTTCTTCTAAATAAACATTTTACAAAACAGTCTTACAGTTTACCTCGTATTCCAGGTATAGGCAAGCAATGGATTATCAGAGAGTGATGATGAAATGACACATTACTACTTCTGAGAAATTCTTTACAAACATTGGTAACAGAAAATCGATCCCAATGTGAGTTATTCACTACATTCTAGAGCTTCAACGCTTTGGGAGCATACGTCTTGTTCACTCTGTCCAAGCTGCAAGAAGTCCAGTGGAAAGACAGCTTCGCAAACCATATTAAACGTAAGGCCTTTAAGAAGACAGGGAATAATCCATGGCATAGCATAGTCGCGGGATATGAGTTCCTCATGTCTTGACAGCACCAACTCAGTGATGAGCCTGGACCTTCAAAAGCCTCAACCATACTAGAGTCTCATTTCTGCTGAAATCACACTTGAAAACCAAAAGGGACCTAGATCAACACCTACATTTTATTCTTTCCCAGGATTTTTAACCTGCGAATATTCCAGACCTCCCTCTCCTGAATCAACGCTACCGTGGGATATAGTGTTAATTTCTCTACTGAGGTTGCACCTTTAAAGAGAATCACAATCTTCCACACCCATGCAAAGCCCTCATTCATAATTCAGGCTTAGGATACTTGGGTTCAGCTTATGTATTTTCTCACCAGTTTAAAAACAATTAATGTATTACTGAGTGAAGTTTAGACAACCTAAAAAGATCCAATCAACGTCAGCCTTAGAGTAAAAACTTCAACTAATAAAGATGCTAACTTAATTAGAAACTCACTTGGGATTCTAATTAGTGGTTTTTCTTTTTTCTTTTTTTATAGAGATCACTTTAATTTTTTATTTTTTGGGGATCAACATTCGAACACTTATCCTAAGTGGACCAGAACTTTTTTTTTTTTTTTTTGAGTTGGAGTCTCACTCTGTTGCCCAGACTGGAGTGCAGTGGCACGCTCCCGGCCACGCACCCTCGACCTGCTGGGCTCCGGCCATCCTTCCGCTTCAGCCTTCCAAGTAGCTGGAACTATAGGCACACGCTACCACACCTGGCTAATTTTTAAAAATTTATTGTAGAGATGAGGTCTCGCCAAGTTGCCCAGGCAGGTCTCGAACCCGCGGGCTCAGGCAATCCACTCACCTCAGCCTCCCAAAGCATGGGATTACAGGCTGGTTTAATTAGTGGTTTTTCTTTTCTTTTTTGGGGGGGGAGGTTGTTAGGGTCTCACTCTGTTGCTTAGACTGGAGTACGGTGGCATGATCTCAGCTCACCACAGCCTGGACCTTCTGGGTTCAGGTGATCTTTCTAACTCAGCCTCCCAAGTAGCTGAGACTGGAGGTGTGCATCCCCATGCCTGGCTAATTTTTTGTTTTTCTGTAGAGATGAGGTCTCACTATGTTGGACAGGCTGGTCTTAAGCTCCTGGGCTCAAGTAGTCCTCTCACCTTGGCCTCCCAAAGAGCTGGGGTTACAGGTGTGAGCTACCATGCCCGGCCACCTTTAAAAGCTTAATGAGAAGGACCAGTCTTTCCTCCAGATGGATCAAAGACCAGACATTCTGCCTCTACTCTTACTCCCTCCCACAAGCACATTCTGACCCTCATGAACTCTCCATCCCCAGTAATGAACCTGGCCCTTAGGCCTCTCCAGGTCTAGTCCTCATTCCACAGTACTATTCCCACCTACCTCCTGTACACCAAAAGCTGCCCTAACCAGTGTCAGATGTGAGTGACAGAAGATTAAAGGTGACCCACTCCCGGGGATGGCATCCTCTTTCCACTAGCACCTTAAAGCTCTCAGGCCTGTGATATTCCAGAGACAGGTCCCTCATGGAGAAAGTTTGTCTTGTACCATGGCCAAGAGCACACACTCTAGACGCAGACTGTCTAGGCTTGAACCATGGTCAGCCATAAGCCACTGTCATTGAGCATTACGTAGCCTCTTTGAACCCAAGTTAAACGGGGATCTGTAAAATGGGAATGATAGTACCTACCTCATCATGTCATTAAAAGAATTCTACAAAAGAAACGTCACTGAGAATAGCACCCAGTACTGCATCCTGAGGGCCGGATCCCACCTGTGGCCAGTTTGTGTAAAAACGTTTTGGTGGGCCAGGCTCAGTGGCTCAGCCTGTAATCTCAGCACTTTGGGAGGCCGAGGCGAGAGGACTACTTGAGCCCCTGGGTTTAAGAGCAGCCCAGGCAACTTGGCGAGACCTTGTTTCTACGATAAATCAAAATTAGCTGGGTATGATAGCGCAAGCATGTAGTTTCGGCTACTTGGAAGGCTGAGGCGAAAGGATCGCCAGAGTCCAGCAGGTTGACACTAACGGCCACTGCACTCCAGCCGAGGTGATGGAGTGAGACTCCAACTCAGAAAACAAAACAAAACCGTTTTGGTGGAACACGGCTATGCACTCACTAGGATGTTGCCTGTAGGCGCCTCTGCAGTTGCAACAGCAGAGTTAGAGATGGGTGACAGAGCCACAGTTCACAGAAAGCCTAAATATTTTACACAAAGAGTTTGCCAAGCCCAGTCTGCATACAGCAAACTCTTTAAAAAAATTTGCCATTATGATTCCCACAGGTGAAATCATCACACCTTCGCAGTGCTTTGCATTTCATCATATTAAGTGGTTTTCTTTGTAATACCAACTGATTCTACTTTAGAGACTCGTTTTTAGTGTGAAGAGACCCAGAGGAGGTTCAGGGTGCACTTTTACTGCTAACTCGAGTCCCTGCACAGCCAGTTTGTGTTGAGCAAGTCTTTTTAATTTTTTTTCCTATGTTGTCCAGGCTGATCTTGAACTCCTGGCTTCAAACAATCCTCGTGCCTCAGTCTCTCAAAGTGCTGGGATTAGAGGTATGAGCCACCACACCCGACCTATCTACCAACTCTTGTCCAGAGTCAAGAGGTTTCTGTCTAGGATGGTGACACAGTGATGCTGGATCTTAAAGTTCTTCTCAGGTATGTTTTGAATCTGCTTCTCTTGTTCTGTAACAGTAAACCATGTGGGGGGAAAAAAAGCCTCCTGAATGTAACAGTCTAACCAGAATTCATAGCATACTTCCCACAAGACTGATCCAAATCCAGCGGTCTTAGAGGGATTAGGAGGGGTTATTGTTTTGGAGTCTGGCTATCTGACAGGAGGACAATGGTCACCTTGGTCCCACAAGGAAGTAAAGCAATGGTTTTCAGGCTAACTCTGTGGACTAAAGACAGCACACAAAACAGATTAGCCAGGGCATCTCTGAAGGATCCTGTTTAAAACCACTTACTATAAAATGAGGTAGATGAAATTACTAAGATGATCTTTAAGCGCTAAAGACAGCTATTAACCCAAACAATCGATGCTGGTTGTCCTGAAAAAGTGTTAGCACTTTAGAATAGACAATTTGGCCACAAAAATGTGGGTGCTGGTGAAGAGAGATGCATTTCAAGGATTACCTGCAGCAGGGAGCCCTCTGAACTGGCGCCGTGGTTCACCGGAAAAGGCATCCGTCCATCTGCAACCAAGAAGCCAGGTTTGTCAGTTTCTCTGCATGTTTCTTGGCTGCTGTATTTGCCCTGCCCAGCCCAGTGAGAAGTTTTATTCTTCCAAATACCACAAAAGGAAAGCTGGTCACGAAGCAACAGGCTACGAATGAGGTTCAAGCGTTCCTAATACCCATCCCAGGTAGTTCTAATCTACAGTTAATGAGATCATGCAAGCTCAGTTCAGCTACCCTGATAGGTGTGCCTACATCTCTTGGGGAAGACCAAGGGACACATCAGATGTGCTCTGGGTACAGAAGAGGTGGTGGCAGAAAGAGGAGACCCTTGAGATTTCACTTGCACCCTCCCCCCAATGTCCGCAGATTGCCCCCAAGTCTCCTTTGTCCTTGTGAGCCCACCAGTAGTGTCTCAACTTGGGCCAAGTCAGCTGTAAGTCTTACTCTACAAAAGGGAGAAGTCATACAAGCTGAATAATCTTTTTTTTTTAATGGGTTCTCACTCTGTCACCCAGGCTGGAATGCAGTGGCACTACCCAGCTCACCGCAGCCTCAACCTCCTGAGTTCAGGCGATCCTCCCACCTCGGCCTTCTGAGTAGTTGGGACTACAGGTGCATGCCACCATCCCCTGCCAAGTTTTGATTTTTTGTAGAGACAAGGTCTTGCTATGTTGCTCAGGCTGGTCTTGAACTCCTGGACTCAAGCGATCTTCCCACCTTGACCTCCCAAAGTGCCTGGCCATGAATAATCCTTCTTGATGCCGTAAATCAATGGACAGAAATTAGTCCAACATGTCCTTTTTTTATGCACAAACAAGGTACTATTCTGGCACTGATCCTTTTCCAGAAGTATTCTTTGCCTGAAAAGGATGATACCAAGGGAAGTGTAGGGGGCGATGGGAAGAGAGGGTGTGAATGCAGACACCTGGAGCAGGGGCCGTCTGACCTGCTCTCTTGACTTGTCTGGGACTACTGTCATGCATCTGTATATATACCAGTTGCCTGAGAAAGCTGCTCTGGGCATGATCAGAGGTTAAGTACCCCCATGAGAATATTGCTCTTCTGGCTTCAGAAACAATGATATGCCAAGTGCCACAAAGTCACACAACAATAATTCAAGGGACATTAAGTCTGAAAGGAGGCACGAAACCATACTGGATTACAAAAGTGGAGTGAAACGTACCAAGCTCATAGAGGTGACCATCCACGTTGTTAAACAGAATAAAATGGAAATTCACTTTGTCATCTACCTGAAGAGAGTCAAAACATGTTTTTGAAAATGAGTATAAACCAAATTTGTTAAAGATAAATTATCTTGCAATTCAAGCAAAATTGCTTGAACCGACCATTTTTTTTTTTTTTTTTTAAAGGAGGATTTATTGAGAGGACAGAAAAAGCTCCTACAGTGGGAGCTGACCTGAGGGGGTTACACCACTTATTTTTTAAAATTATTATAGCTAATATTTATGTATGTTCTATATACCAGGTTCTATTCTAAGCCCATTAAGGGAGAGACTGTAGCTGTCAGAACTCTGTGACAATGCTACTGTGACATGCTTTTTTGCTGAGGAGGAAATTAAGGCTTAGAGAGAGTATATCACCCATGGTCTAGACTAGAAAGCAGCAGGGCTAAATATAGTTAGAAAGACACTTGTCATCTGACTTAAATTTCACAGGCGATCCTTCTGCCTCTGCCTCTGCCTCCTGTAGCTGGGACTACAGGCACACACCACCATGCTCGGCTAATTTTTTGATTTTTTTTGTAGAGATGATATCTCTATAAGTTGCCCAGGCTGATCTCAAACTCCTGGGCTCAAGCAGTCCTCCGCGTTGGCCTCCCAAAGTGCTGGAATTACAGGCGTGAGCCACTGTGCCCTGCCTGAAATGTTCGATCACTAAGATAAATGTTACTCACACCGTAAGACTCATTTGGATTTCAACACAATACTGTCAATCAGAATTGGCACAAGACTATTTCAACCGTCAATTAGATTTCTGAAGAGGTATTTTTAGAAACAGATCTAATGAAAGCATTATTTGGGTAGAATTTTCTAGTGTTCATGGGCCTCAAGTGGGTAACACTTGCTGTGCTCCAGGAAGAGACCCCTGCACGTGGTTCAGTGGACACAAAGCTGGCACTGGGGCAGCGTGACTCTTAACAGCACTTGTATTTACCCGACAGTGGCCCTCCTGTGCCACGGCATCGTGGGTCGCCTGGATGGCCTGCAGAAAAGAGAGCGTTGTTAGCACAAGAATCTCCAGGGCTATCTAAAAGCGACGCTTGGAAAGGTCTCTTCTCACCTCATTCTTTTCAAAGCATTTTGCTCTGTCTTCAGGGGACATCTTCTCTGTCTCAGAAAGAAACTGTTTCAGGACCGATCCATCCTCTTAAAAAAAATGCATGTATTAGTATAGATAAAATAATGCAAATGGTACATTAATGGCTAACTTGAGCCTTTGCATAGCTGGTAATGTTAAGCAACCACACTCTTGAAGAATTCTTTAATATGCCATTGGCCAGAATTTAATTACATGATTATATACTAGCCAAAAGAGGCTAAGAAAGTAAATATGTAACATTTTCAGATTCCAAGGAGTAAAATGGGTTCTGTCACCAAGGAAGAGGATAGGGGCCAGGCTATTTGACAGGCATCTTCTGTGTCACGGCATGCCTGAAACTTTTTGTTGTTGTTGTTGTTGAATTGGAGTCTTGCTCTGTCACCCAGGCTGGAGTACGGTGGCATGCTCACAGCCTGCTGGGTTCAGGTGATCCTCTGCCTCAGTCTTCCATGTAGCTGGAACCACAGGCACACACTACTACACCTGGCTAATTTTTTTATTTTTTGTAGAGTCGAGGTCTTGCCACATTGCCCAGGCTGGTCTCGAACCCCTGGGTTCAGGCAATCCTCTCTCCTCAGCCTCCCAAAGTGCTGGGATTACAGGCATGAGCCACCACGCCTGGCCCTGACATGGCCTCATGGATATGGACAAGCTGTTTCTCTTTCCCTAGCCTCTTGTTCACCCACTCCCTACTCACTGCATTCAAGCCAGAGGCCCCTCTGTTGCCCCAGGGTGCTGATCTCTTCCTTACCTCTACTCCCTGCCACCTGGGCCCCTTCCCGCCCCCCCCATCACTCATCTCTCCAATCTCTCAACTTTCTTCCAGCACTTAGTCATTTGTAACATGATATGTGAGACTTTTGATACCACAAAGGCAGGGATTGCCTTGTCTACTGCTGTATGTACCTCACAATGCACAATTTACATCTAATACACATGAGCATGCCATGCTATGATCGCATTCTAATCTTATAATGGTTGCCAAAACAAGATCTTTACTTCAGGGTAGAAAATTCAATCTTAGTCACTCAGATGTCCAGATAGAAATGAACACAGGGCAACTCCTTCAGGTCCCCTCCCACTGTGGAAGCTTTCTGTCCTCTTAATAAATCCTGCTTTTTTAAAAAAAGAAATGAAATGAAATGAACATAAAGATCCTAAATAGAAATGTGGGCCAGGCACAGTGGCTCACGCCTATAAACCCAGCACTTTGGGAGGCCGAGGTGAGAGGATTGCCCAAGCCCACGGGTTTGAGACCATTCTGGGCAACTTGGAGAGACCTCCTCTCTGTAATAAATCAAGAAAAATTAGCTGGGCATGGTGACACATGCCTGTAGTTCCAGCTACTTGGAAGGCTGAGGCAGAAGGATCGCCTGAGCTCAGCAGGTCAAGGCTGCAGTGGCAGTGAGCGTGCCACTGCACTCCAGCCTGGGCAACAGAGTGAGACTCCGACTCAAAAATAAATAAATAAATGTAAAGAACAGTCCAGCACTGTGACATCTAACTGGCTAACTGTGGGCACAAGCATTTTGTTACTGCCTGGCACGGACATGCCCAAAAGAATCTAATCACACAGCTACAGCAAGAGATACTTACATTTCAGCTTGAACTGTCAGCTCTAAACTTAAATTTTCAAAGTGGGGACCATATCAAAATTCAGAAGTGCTAGGAACCCTCTTAACTTGATGAGAAGGGCTGTGAGTCAGGTTAAGTTTTTGACACCACTGCTACTATGCTTACTAAAGTCACAGTATCTATGACCTCAGGAACACAGAACTCTAAATAAAGTGTGACTTGCTACACAAGAAACAGAATCAAGCTGCAGCTTTTTAATATGACTCAATCATTTGAAAAAGCAATTTCTAGATGATGAGTGCCTATGGCCAGACAACTCTTTTCATTTTTCATTCCAAAAGAATATTTAGTAGAGTCTCAGCCATACTTCCCTTGTTAAAAAAAAAAAAAGTATGCTCTGTTGCAAGGAATAGTGCTAACTATTAAAGTTATTGAATTCATAGCCATGCCCAGTCATTGTTGCCTATTTTTGTAAATAAAATTTTATTAGAACACAGCCATATCCACTGGTTTACACCTTGTCTATGACTGCTTTTGTTCTGCAAAGGCAGAAACCATTTGATCCTCAAAGCTTAAAAGATTTACTCTCGGGCCTTTTAAGGTTATTTGCTGGTGCTTGGCCTGATTCATAAGTAACAGACCCATTATTTTAACATATATTAGGGCTGAGAACTGTGCCTCTGACAAGCTTCAGTCCTCTGACTCATTTTCCTATATTCCTCACCACATTCACGGGAGGTGGGCTTAAGCCCTTGACCTGACTGTTCACAACTGCGATGCTTAAGGTTTCGGCTGGCTGTGGTGCCTCCCAAAGTCACTGCCACACTGTGTCCAGCTGCTCTGAGCTGCTTTGGTTCTCCTGTTGCTTATGAGACACAGAACCAGAGACACAGAACCACTGGACACAGGTCTTGATGGTTGACTTTTTCTGCCTTAAGATCCTCTCTAACCTTCCAGCACTGCTGAGAGCATGCAGCATACACTCACTGGCCCTTTACCTCAGAGCCACGGGAGCTGTGGGACACTGGAACAGCACATGCACAAATGCAGGGCAAGACAGCCTGTCACGCAGACTTCCACTCCATGAGGAGGCAGCCAAACCCTGCTACTTGGAAAATGAGTTTCCTTCCCTCCAACAAAGGAAACAGTGAACATTCATAAGGGGTAGCCACGACTAAACAGGTCTCAAAAGCATGTAAGCAATGACTTAGCTGAACAGACCAGAGGGGTTTTGAAATGAAGTGTTACAGTTCACCTGGCTTGTCCTATTCAAATAGAGGATGACTGGCCCCCAAAACCCACACAACGTACCAAACTCCAGCTTGTCTTGGTTGTTGGCCACCGCGTGTATCAGGCCAATGGTGCCGCACGAGTTCCCAAGGGTCTGTTTCATGAAGTACACCTTAGGGCTCACCTCTTGCCCCTTCAGCTCTTCAATCTGTTTTTTCCGGAAGTTCTCATGCTGTGAATGTAAGAAACATTGTTACATCTCAAAAGGAAAATGCAAAGACTGAACAGATGGCAGCACAGTGAGTTCTACCACCCAAATGGAAACGCCAGTGGGATGTGTGACCAGGATCCTTGGTCTAGACATTTGGCCGATGCCAGGGAAGGACCTGTCTGCCTCCCACACCCACACCAGCCAGCAGGGCCCTAGGAGGTTCCGAGACTCCACCCTGATGCTGCAGTGCAGTGTCTGCTGGATGTCGCCCAAGGCTCTGTCTAGACACCCCTGCAACCTTGTAGCCTGAAATGGAGGGTGCAGGAAATCAGAAAACAAAGAGACTGGCTCTTTACTTGCTTCCCTTAATACTAAACAAGAATCGTATTTCACACAGACGCTCTCATCAAGCTCTGGTGGATGGAACACCCAATGGGAACGTCATCTAGTTTATATGTCACTGTTCTTGAAAATTCTACTTGCAAGCTGTCCAAATATACGTCTCTTCCAAAACAGAAACAAAACAAGCCTTCACTGTTGGAAGAAACCAGTGAGAATTAACCACTCCCTCCCCCGTCCCCCTTTTAGGAAGGAAAGGCAACTGGTCCAGTGTATTGGGCATCCATTTTTCAAGAGAAAGATGTGACACAGGCTTGTCCTAGGCAGCTACCCAGTTCCATTTGAGGACAGATTAGCAATCTGAGGAGGAAGAAAGAGACTGGTGAGTGAATGGAACTAGCAGATGGACTTCCTCAGACCATCCGCCTACTCTTTGTACAGTAATTTAGTGTGCGTGTCTAGATCTTTCACTGAGGAGTTTTAAAGACCTTAAAAGTTACGACTTCTCAGTTAAAAGCAGGGTGCTAATGGCATGCAAACACTGATTTCTCCCAACCAGCAAAATTCAGACTCAACTTCAGAAACACACTTCCAATTCTAGTAGCCTGGAAATGCGAAGTTCAAGCTTGCTCTGTGCACCAGCAGAGGAATGAGAGCCCTTGTCCCACAAAATCAACTTAAATTCTAACTAGTGGAATGTTCTTGTTTCATGTCTACCAGGTCCTTGAATTGTTACTTATTGACTATCAAGAGTTTTTACTTTTTGAGGCTAATTGGATGAAATGTTAAAATGGGATAGCGCCATCCTTTAGGGTAGTCTAAACTCTTGCATGGAGACATTTCTGAAAATATTTCACCATCGTTTAAAACTACCTGCACAATGCATATCTGTATACCTAACCCTTAACTGTACCCCAAAATTTTAAAATAAAAAATATGTATTAAAAAAACTAATATTTTAGAAATGATCCATGTAGATGTCATGATATCCCCTCAGTCAAAATTAAATGCCTTCTAAATTAACATGCGCTTGCTTGGAAGTTAATCTATAAGGCCCCAATTTTTATTTAAATCTGCTTTAGTGTTTTGCCCAGTGGACATTTTGTATAGCAGAACAGGTACTCAATAAATTTGATAGATTGAACTGCAGCTAAAGGACAAAGTATTGAGCTCTTTCAAACACAGCCATTCAAGCTAGAATGTTCTCTAACAAGATTCGATTGATCCAGCGAAAGACCAGTCAGCTTTCCAGGCAAGCATGCTGCATCACTGCCTCCCAGAGGCCTTGTCTCCAGAGCTATTCAAAACCTCCGAGTCATCATGGTTGCTCTAATAAAAAAGCTCTGTGAACTGCTCAACTGGGAGCTGGAGACTGATTTGGTCAACAAAGAAGTTAACTGGATGGCTCCCTTTTCACCCAAGTAAAGGCTTTAGCAATAAAAATACGTCTGTGAGATTATCTTAACGGGCTATATGTAATAAGTGTTTTCATCCTGCAATACTAAGACTGCTCATTTACTAGGAGGAAGGCCTGGAATGTCCCATACAACTTGGTTTAAGCTAAGATGCTTCTAGAACACCGAGCCTTAAGGTGGTGCTTCAGTTAACCTTACTCATTGTTTGGAGTGATGCCCCAAATGCAAATGCCCCAAGTTTTGCTACTGCCAATTTCTTTTTTCTTTCTTTTTTTTTAAGTGAGAAAGCAGGATTTATTGAGAGGACAGAAAAGCTCCCATAGTGGGAGGGGACCTGAAGGTGTTACCCTACAGCTAATTTCAATTACTTCCAAGACAGGGATCAGGTGACTGTAATAGGAGACACACAGAGCCTCAGGAATGGCTGGGATTCCCGACATCACAACACATATCCCAGCTGTACGTTTTGGTATCTGATGCTCAGTCTTTGAGACGCAGACACCCATGCACACCTGCAGGAGGGAAACGAAATGGTGATTGCAAGCCAGTGCTCATTTAGGTCAGAGAGGAAAGAGGCCGAAAGAGGAGGATGGAGGTTCTCTCAGAGAAACCATCCAGGAACCATTCCACTTCAAGAGGCACATTCAGGAGGCTGAAAACCAAGTGTGCATGTGGTGGGGAGCAGAGGGTGGAGAGAACCCCCTAAGTCTACCAGGTGGTGGAGGTGGAGAGGGGAGAACTGGCTTCCTCGTGATTTCGGCAAGCCCTTCCCCCTCCTCTTAATAGCGACACGGGAGTCTGAGAACCAAACAATGAATTGACAGGTTAAGGCCCTTCCAGGGAAACCATTCCGCCGGAAAGCACGACTCGAGCTCAAGGAACACCCAAGGCTCAAAAATGCCCAAGCTCAACTCGTGAGTGGGAGGAATGATCTCCCTGGGTCAGTGGGATGGTGGCGTGAGATGCTGCGGCTTCCAGATCTACGGCGAGGAGGCAGCAAGCGCTATGAGAACGGAAGCCCAGCGAGTGGGTACCACGAGACGGCCGGCTGCTCCCTCCCGGGAGGCGCGCCCTCGATCCCCCCCGGGGAGGAGAGCCCTGGGGTTTGGGGACAGCGCGCACCCGGGGCCCACGCCCTACCTGGGCGGTGAGCGGGAAC